TTGAGCTATAATTCCCCTTATCTTATTATATTGAACTTTTAAATATATTTTTAAAAAATAAATCAACAGATTTTAATAGCAAAAAGAAATTAGTAGATTTTTTTAATAATAAATGTGTTAATATAAAATGAACATATTTTAAACTTGACTCATATTTTTTTATTTATTTATTAAATTATAAGTCACAATTTTTATGCACTTAAATTATTTTGTTCTTCTGACTGCTTTTTCAAAGCCCTATTTTCTTTTTCTAAAATAACAAGATTTCTTTCTAAAGACTATATTTTTAATAAATAAACTTAGTTTTACTATTCTAAATCTTTTTACTTTTAGATTTGATCTATTTATTATTTATCTGTATTTAGAATAGCTTGATTATCTAATTTTTTATTAAGGTTTTAAATCTCTTCACTTTGTTTTTTTATTAAAATATTTTATTCTTCTATTTTTTACTTCAGCTCTTTTATGTTATCATCTTTGTTGTGGATTTGCTACTCAGAATACTAAATTTACTTGTTTAAGCTCTAGATTTCTTTGTTTAATAATATTATTTCATTTTGATTTATTAAAACTTAGTCTTTTAATTCAACATTATCATTCGTCTCAGAATTCAGATTTTTAGACTATTAAAGTTTGAGATATTATGTTTATGCTCTAGCTTCTTCTAATTGCTAAATCAAAAAAATTTTTTCTTTTTCGAATTCTCTTCTCTCATTTACATATTAAATGAATATACTAACTTCTTCTTCTTTGAGCTTAAGTTTACTATTTAAATAATCTATCTCACTTTTCATTTTTGAAACGTCTTCAAGTTATCCCTCTTCTTATATGTAAGATTATTCATTTTAAAAGGCAGAATCATTTTATTAGAATATTGAGTCATTCTTCTTTTATTTTTAGTTGGATATTTAAATATGATTTTACTATTGCTCTATATTTTTTAGCAATTAGATTTGCTTAATAATTTGTTATTATTTATCAGAATCCTTTTTATTTGATTAAATTAGATTATTATTACTAGGAATTCTTTATTAATCAAGTTGATTTATTAAAATGTTACTTTATTTGACATTTGACTGAAAATATTTTTGCTAATCTTATTACTATTGAATTTATTTATGTACTTAAGTAGGATATTAAATATTGTTATTATTAGCTTAAGGTATGACTAAAACTGACTAATTAACTAACTTTTGCTAAATGAAATGAGGGCTAGCAGTTTTTAAATTTAGTTGATTACCACTTGAGTTGCGAGTATGAGTACTTAAATTAGATTAGACTATACTGCTAAAAATTCTGTTTCTTTAAACTGGTTGTATATTATTGTTTTTTAATGTTTGGATGCCAGTGTCTAAATTTTATACTACAATCGGTATGTTTTAATTTTGAGGAATAAAAAATGGAGAGCTATTTCTATTAGAATTAAACTAAGCATGCTGAACTGATTAAAAAGTTGATTAATTTTAATGTATTGCATCATTATTTTGATATGTCTTACTAATTTGACTGCGTTCAATATGATTAATCATGTTTAAATCTTAATTTTTAGTGAAAGAATTAGGCTTTTAAAATGAATTGTATTAGTAACATTCATGGTTATTTTCATTAGATAAAGGTGCATTTGATTATTTAGTAGTTTAGTTAAACATCGATGTTTAACCAGTGTTTAATTTTAATTGCTAAGTGTTAATTTACGACTAGCTAGAGGGTTGCTAAAATGATAATAGCATTTTTATTAGATATTTCGTGTAGTATTTATTACTTAAAAGATTACTAAATAAAAATAATATTAAATATTTATGTGTGTGTGTATTTATCCTTAAATTAACTAAATAGCTATATTATAGTATCTAATTTATTTGTTGATTAAACTAACCAACTGACAAACTAGATCTAAACTCAAATAACTAAAAATTAGTAGCTTTTCATATAATTTATTGGTAGATCTATCTATTAATCTATCTACCTTTCTATCTAAAAATTAATTTAATAATATTATACAATACTAACAAATAATAATTTACAAAAGATAAAAATATGTATAAATAAATACTTAAATTACATAAATAGGGCATTATAAATATTAAATAAATTTTCAAACGAATTTGTACTTCTTCTTATAACCACTTGAAATATGAAGAATTGTTTTCTGAATTTATATTACTTTATTTTATTTAATAATATCTATAACTAGCTATTTTATATAATAAGTATTTTTTCAAGATAAAAACTCCAAAATTAGATCACTAAGCATTTCTTTCCTTTTTAATTAAAGTTTTTTAGCTATTAAAAATAGAGATCTTTTAACATTTATATATTTTTAGATAGATTTTATATTTTTTTAATTTATTGGATTATTTTATTCACTTCTATTATTTAAATTTACCTTGATTATATTTGGAAATTTATTTATAATAATTGAGATATTCAAATTCTAGTTAAGAAGCCAGTTTTGGTTAAATATTTAAATTTCTCTTACTTTCAAGGCATCATCCTTGTTAATTTAAAATATAGAAAGTGAGTTTGTGTTTTCAAATATTAAACTAACAAATTAAAAATTTTATATCAAGTCATTAGATTAGACAAGAGAGTTATGATTTCTGCAAAGTTTATTAAATGAGAGGGTGATAATTCTTTTTAAGTTTGAGCTTTTTATCAATTAAATCAAATTTTTATGAAATTGCTAAACACTAACTAAATTATCAGTGTATTAAATTTTTAAGTTTGTTGCTGTTTTATTAAAAGCAATTTAAGGAACTAAATCTAATAGATCTTCAATTTACTAAATAATATACGTCTCTTATTGCTTATTGTAAATTAATGCAAATTGAGGATGAAAACTGTGTTTCTTTTAAATTTAGATACTGTAGTAATGTAGGTTCTTTAATTTTGAGAGCAAATCAAAAATATCTCCAATTGAAATTTGGAAATTTTTCCAGATTTCAGAATAAATTACTTCTACCTCAATTTATTTTATAAATATTAACTATCTACACCTTTGAATAAATTCACATAAGTCAATAAAGTAGCTTTTTTAAATCTTAAAATAAATCTTTAGGATATCTATTTTATTTTGTATCTTAAAAAGAGGATAAAATGATCCTTTATCACACAGTAAATCAGAAATATTTACAGTTATTGAATTAAATTTCGGAACATAAACTAGTTCTTCTTAAAAAATTTAAAACTTCAAATGAGAAATTTTTTAAGAAGTGTCACAAATCTAAATTAAATTATCAAATAAATCATCGATTTCTAATTTTTGTCTAAAAGAAAATGCAAACATGTTTATAAATATATTTGTCTTAGTATTAAGAAACTCTACCAAATTATCAACAAACACTTTTGGTAATTCAATTTCTTCAATATCAAAAGATACAACAATTTAATCAATACTTTCAATAATAAAAGTAAAATTCTCTTTACTTAAACCGTATAGTGGTAGGTTATAGATTATAACCTCTTCCAGGTTTGAAAGAAGGTTCATTTTTGTTTTTTCATCAATAATAATGCTTGATCTTTATGTTTATTAATCTTATTTATTATCAATAATTCTATAATTTATTTCTATTTCAATTTCGTTTACCGAAAGTAATAATTTATCATGTGATAGAAAGCTAAAACCCATACTCTTTATCTAAATTTCTACATTATTTTAAGGCTAAAAGAAGATTAATTCTTGAAGTCCTTTCTATGAAGGAACTATATTGATATAGTCTAATATATTTTTGATACTTTTCATATTATTCTGTTTAAAGCGAAGTATAACTTTAGGAGATTAAAAATCAATATTTTTTAATACTTTTATAATTCTCCTCATTACATTTTTTGAGTGATTAATACCTAAATCTAATATTATAAATGTATCCTCATACTAGCAAGAGCTTTTTACAATTTTATTAATAAGCTTTTAGCTAGAATTTTTTACATCAAATACGATAGTATCTATTTCTTTAAAAATAGTATAATACACATTATTTTACTTTAAAATTTAGTAAATTGATTAATCTTCCATTTATTTATTTATATCTATCTATCTATCTAACTAACAAACTCACTTGGTATTTATTTAAATTTTTTTAATAATTTGATTAAAAAATTTATGACCTTAACTTTAAAAAGGAATTAAGTAAGTGATCAAAATTATAAATAGAATGAAGATTTTTTTAATTAAAATATTAAATATTATTTATTCAATTTAAAACAAAAAAGCATATTTTAAATACTTTTTATGAAAGCATTTTAATAATTAAGACAAATATTTAATATAAAGAACAAAAAGCATAAGATTAGTTAGTGTTTTCATTAGTAAATCAGGATTATTCTAAGTATAATTTTTTGGTTTTATATTATTTAATTTTCATTCTTTTTGTTTATATATAAAGTATCTTTAATTTTAGTAATTATTATTTACAATTTCTTTCTCTCTGACTTTGTTTATTCATTCATTCATTTAATAATTCATTTTTTTTTTTGCTAATTCGATTGATTTTTGATATGCTTTTCAATCAATTACTTTAGGTATTGCTGTCTCTGTATAAATTTTACTTTCCTCGCTTTTTTATATTAAATATGTTAATTTGAGGATTATCTTAATGATATTAATTATTTACTCTCTAGATAAGAGGAAAAGATTTCCTTATAAATCAATCTTCATTTCAATTTCAGTGTCTTTTGTCAAGAATGAAAAAGCAGGATGAATCAACTTTGTTCTGTACCTGAAGCTTTATTATATTAAGTTGTAATTTAAACCAAAATAAAAAAATTTAAATCTTACGTGTATTGTCTTGATTCACCTTTTATTTTTTTGAATTTATTTAAACATATTCTAAATAATTCATCACCTTATGTGTTATCATTTTCTATATTTAGTTTCTTTTCTTCTCCTGTAAAATCAAAATCAAAAACTAAGTACTCAAGTTTTAGATTTGTAAAAGCCTTTTCAACTAATTTAAACATACTACCCTAATATCAATTATAAAAACGTTAAACTATAAAATAATTTTATTTTAAGATTGTACACTTATAAATTCAAGCACTATTGGGAATGAATCTTTTGGTAGAAATGAATTAGATATAGAATTCAAATTTTCTTGTGTATCATCGAGAGTGTTTAATCTTATAACTTTAGAAACAGTCATTGGATTCTAGGCATCGTAGTCTTTACTTTAAATGATATAGAGCTTAGCTTTGTCAGAAAAATATTTTATTTCTATTGCTTTTTCACTGTCTAAAAGCTTGTAAGATTAGTCGAAATCCTTTAAATCTATTTTCATTACAAATCCTGAAGGAGTGTTTGACATCCTCTCATTAAATTCTCTTTTTTAGTTGAAGAAATCGGGGGCCAATTAAATAATATTGGAAGTAATATTTCCTTTAGCTTTGGTGATAAAGAGCAGTCCATGATGATTATTTACTAAAACGTGGAAATCCTTTTATTATTAATTTCAATAAATTATTATTTTATGCAATATAAAATTTACTGTTTATGAAGCTGATTGAGTAAATTTAGCAAGAGAATCAAATAAGTTTCTAATAACTTTAGTATAAGTTCCTTTAAAATGGAAAATGGGCATTTCTTCTTGATCCATCTCTATAAAGATAATTGGTTTTGCTTGAATTTTAAAATTTTGTATAAATAATCTTTAGGGAATTTATTATATTAATTTAATTTGTTATTAGAGTAGTTTTTAATAACCAAAAAAAAGTAGAAAATTTAATTATGTAGCTGTTTGGCTCTTTTATTATTAAATTAAACAGTATATCTTTGCTGATAGAATACTAACAATTTTTTTTATCAAATACCGCGAAAAAAAAAACAACAAAAATTAAAACATGAACAAATTAATTAAAAAATTCTAATTAAATACAATCAAAAAAATTTTTGAATTTATGGAATTGATAATGAATGCAAATTCTCATCAAATTAAGCTAAAAATAAATAATTAATTTATAGATATTTAAAAGAAAACAAATTTATTTTAATGTTAATCAATTATTATTAAAAAATTTTTTATAGAAAATATTGAGCTATAATTTCATTAGAAGATTTTTTTTTATTTCTGTCAAAGCTTAGATTTATTTGATTTAGGTAAAGTAGAAGATAATTTTTGCATATTAAATATGATTAAATTGATTTATTAATTTATCTAAAAGTAGTAATATTTTTCTTATCATTTAATTCTTTCTATATTAAATTTATCTAAAAATATTTAAATGATTCTCAATTTAGTATCTACACAATATAATTATGACTTGTAGAAAGATAAAATCTAGTAAGATTAGACTTCCCTTTATATCAATTAAGTACTATGCAAGTGATTGTAAATTTGATTGAAACAAAGATATTGGATAGATTTACTAAAGAAGTAAGTCCAATATCACATTAATTTATTATAAATTGCCAGTTGTTTTATTAACAAAATAAGAAATTTTAAGGGTTGATATCTTTATGCTAATATTTTTACTATGTAGAGTGTTCAAACTATTTAGTATTTTAGATTTCTATGTTTTCTTTTAGTTGTTGATTACCCTTAAATGATTTTAAATTATGTAATTGAAAGTTCTCTAAGGTTTCCCTCACATAGTTCCATTTCTATTATCATAAAAATATTGTCTGTTTTGCTTTTTTAAACTCCATTTTAATTTTTTTATTCACAATCATCATAAAAGAGATATTTTTAGCAAATAATTTAAAAAATTTAATAATGTGATTGATGTGAAGCTAAATTTCATAATTCAAACTCTCCTCTCTTTTTATCTATCTAGTTTTTTTATTTCTTGTTAGAGTAATCACTAACTTAAAGGATTGAGTTTGGATTTACTTGAAAATTACTGGCTTTTAACACAAGTGATTGAGTTTCACTATCAAAATTATTAAAATAGAATTGCCATTAATTTATCATCTTAAATAATTTCTCTAAAGAAAGCCTATTGATTGGACAGATTTCAGAGAATCTTTCTGAAACTCTGAAAGTAAGTCTGTTTAGATAGATGATTAATTTATATTTTAAATTTTCTTTTTTTTTAAATACTATAAATATTAGTTTTATTGATTTTCATTTTAGATTTGCTTAAATTTTTGTTATTTATAATAATTTGAACTTTTTGCTGCTTTTAAAATACTACTTTTGATAGGTTTGTTTAAATATTTTAATCATAAAAATGAATATTTAAAATTTTTTAGAATAATATTATTTAATTAGGAAGAAGATAATTATTTTTTGAAAAAAACACAATCTATAATAGTAAATATATTTTCTTAGTGGTGAGGTGGTGAGATAACTCAATTATAAGCAATAGTTTATATTTTAGAATTATTATTTAAAAAAATTGTCTTTTCTTCATCTTAACTAATTTCTTATTTTTTAATAAAAAAGGGTATACCATAATTCCTCAATACCTGATAGACCGTGTGCTACAAATTGAAAGTTTTCTAAAAAATTTACAAAACTTTTCTTCTTAACCTCTCTTTTTATTAAAAATTACGAATTACGAGTTTTAAGATATACAGTATAAACTTATAAAATTAAATATTTTTTGAGTTTTATTTTAGTGAAAAAAGTGTGTGGTGTTATAGACATTTTAAATAATTTTTTCGAAATTCGCAATATTTTTTTTTGGTATTAATCAGATTTATTTTTAATTTTTTATCAGGAAAATATCAGAAAAAACTCAAAATTTACAACTCAAATAATTTGATTCTAAATAGAATGTTTCTAAAGAAATAAAAAGATATTTTAGTTAGTTTTTCTTCTTTGATTATAAAATTTATGCATTACTGTCCAAAGTAATATTGATAAATTAAAATTGATTATATTATTAAAAAAAATTAATAAATATTTCTAAACAAAAAATTTGATAACAATATTTATTTATAAAAAGTAAAAAGATATGCAACCTCAACCTTAACCTGTCTATGTTATGAATGCACCTAATCCTGCAGATATGATTAGATGTAAACTCCCAAGTCCATTCGATGGTGGATATGCAGATATTATAGTAGATCCATAGAATTTTATAGTTCTCCCTCCTGTCTAAGAAAAAAAGTCATTTTTTGATAAGTTGACAGAAGGAGCTAATAAAGTTGCTCATCAAGCAACTTCAATCACTAAAAATTTTGTTGATAACAGAAAGCCTGTTATTTGTGTCTATTGTACAGCTTATTAAACAATCGATAATAACCAAATTAACTATTACTGTTGTAATTGCAAGTATCTTAACAACAAAGGTAATTAAATACTGAATTATTCAATATAATTTATTAATTTACTTGAATTTTGGAAGTTTTAGTATTTAAATCCATTTTATTTATATGTAAAGCTTAAGCCCCTATTAGAAAAACAATTTTCTGCGGAAACTGTAATGCAAAATAAGAAGTTGATCTAGGAAGTAACACATTTTTACATATTATTAATTATTCAAAGGTAATTTAAAATTGATATTTAACAAATAGCTACTTGGTATACAACTTGTTCTAAGTGTGCAAGACTCAATATTATTCCTCTTTTAAAGCCTATGTTCTAAGTTCCTCCTGGTCATCCTTGCTTAAATGATGCTTAATCACAACAACAGGGATAATAAGTATAACAAAACTATAACGGATAACTCTAACAATAACAATTTATGTATAATGCAAAATAATGATTGAAAAAATTTAATAACATTAATTGATATAAATCTATCTATATATTAGCAATAAAATAACTATATATATTTCATTTAGTTTACATTTAACAAGCTTTTACAAATTATTTTATTTTTATAAAAAATATTAATATTATACAACCATTTATTTATTTCCTAAATTATTTGCCTTATTTTCTTCAAAAATGTTGTAGTTTTTGTATAATAAGATATTCTAAAAAATGAATTTTTGTGAAAACTTAAGACACAATATAAAACAGTCAATAATTTCAATCATGTAAACTAGAATGTAATTCAAAAGAGTAAATCTTTAATAAAAATAGCATTTAAATAGAAAAATTAAATATTAAATTACTACAAATTCTTAAAATTGATTATTAGAATTAAATGCTATTTTATTTTTTTATTTATATTAATAAAATTTATTAAGTTTTAAGGTTTGATAAATCTGTTGTTTATTTAATATTACTAAATATAATAAGGTGATAGAAATAATTTAATTATATTGTTTCTATGTTTTATTTATCACTAATTATTTCATTATCAGTTGTTATTATTTACAGATTGATGTATGGAAGAAAGTAATTCATTTAGTAGTGAAAGCTTCGAGTCTAACTCAGTTTTTTGGAGTTTAACTTTTGTTTTAAACAAATTATCTTAGAATACTCTTTCTTATATTTAGTAATTAACATAATTTAATTCTCTAGTTATGAGTTATTTTTCAGCTTCTATATTAGTATGACGCCATGTAGCAAAAGCTCGACTTACAGCATGCATTTATTTTATCTCTTTTTTCATAGTCAGAGAATAAATTAGACATATGGCTTATTACTTTCTTATTTTCTTTTATAGCATACCTTACATCTCCTTTACTAATTTCTCTTCGATTTATTTAGGATTTAAACTTTTCATACTAGCTGCTTTATTTTTAGAGCTTTAAGATGAAATTGGACTTTTATCTCTTTTTATTGATGGTTTTTCCCATTTCAAAGCATCATTAAAAGCTCCTTTACCTATATTTTCTATATTAACTCCTGCGTCTAAAATCTAAGATTAACTTCTACTCTATTTTACATTAAAATCTATTAAAAGATTAGATAATTTATTTTTCAATATTACTTATTATTATTGTTGTTAAACCATCCCTTAAATGTCTTGACGAGGTATGTTTGCTGATAATCTAAAACAATTTCTTGCAAAACGATGAAATGCAACAACTACCTGCAATTTTTCAGCTCTTCTTTATCTTAGGAGTATTGAATTGAGCAAAACTGATAAGCGATTTTAGTAAAATTTTTTCCTTTCATAATCCATGAGAGCCATTTCATATTCTTTACGCTTTTTACTAAGTTTTTTCTTAAAAATTAAATTTTTACTCAAGCTAACAAAAAATACTAAAATATTTTACTATTGGGAATCTATTTTGTCTTTGTAGTTATGAAGCCTTTTATTCCCATTTGTAATCCAAAAAAGATTAAGCTTGGGGATCATATTCTATTTAGTCTATCTTTTAGAAGTGAGCTGAATTATAGCATTTCAATTTCCAAAGATACAAAAAGAATGTTTTCAGGAGTTAATTTTAACCTTTGCTCTTTTTGGAGCTCATCTTTAACCATAGTTCTAAAAACTTTATAATAGACTTCTTTCTATTAGAAATAAATAAATAATTATTTTTTTTAAATAAAAAATATAGATAGATACTCCTTAGATTCTTTGATTAGTTGTTATATATCTATATTAGATTAATCGTTGTAATCTTCATAGCCGTTATTTGCATAATTTTAATTATTTTCATTTTATTCATAATCAACAATTCTCCTTTTAAGATCTGACAACTCATCTCTCAAAAAATTATTTTCCTCTTCAAGACTTTTTACAGCTATTAAATTTTATTATTCTTAAAAAGAAATATTTATTTGCACTAAACTTACTTCCATGGTCATCGTTATTATTGTATGAATTTCTGTTCTAAAATTAATTTTATTGGAAAAAATATTAATAAAATGAGAATTCCTCTAAATTTTTAAAAAATTAATACCCTGAATGTTATCTCCTACTTATTATCAGCTATGCGATTATACTCTGCAATATCTTTCAATAATTAATTGTATTTATTTGATTTGTTTGGATCATTTTATTACAAAAATTAAACATGCTAGCTGATTTGACTAATACTTGTAGCAGGTTCATTATTTTAAGTTAAATTTGAATATTATTAATGAATACTCACTTCTTTCTCAAATTTTATTTACTTTTTCTCTAAATTTTTTTGCTTTTACTCTAATAACTCACCTTCTTGCTTTAAATTTTATTCATACTGCTAAATCATCAGTTGCTTTTATTGTAATTAAACGTAGTCTTCTTTTTATTTCTTCATTATTTCATATTCTTTTTTTAAATAGTTTTCCACAATTTCCATTTTGAATCTCTCTTCCAGCAACTATACCTCTAAGTTTTTAAGAATCTCACTCTTTCTTTTCAAAAATTGTGGATTCTCTTCCCAATTCTTTAATGAATTTAAAAATTATATATTAACTCTTCAATAAATAAATTATATTTTTATTACCTAAAAGAGCACATAAAATTGATTGTTATCATTCTTGAATTATGATTCTTAGTTTGGAAGATTCTCTGCATAGTGAATAAAATTTTCATAAATTTCTTTTTTCATATTTGCTAGTCTTTATCTAAGCTGCTCTTTTGATCCCAATAAGTTTAAAGGCTCAAACTTTAATTCTTTGATACGAAAATCGAGTTCTTATTCCTAATTTTTTATATCCTGAATCATTTCTTCATATTGATTAATTTTATTATTTAGCTGCTCCTCAAGAAATTTCAGATTATTTTCTCTTCTTATTAAATCTTCGAAACGTTCATCATATTAGTCTGTTTATTATCCTTTACTCTGATTTATTTGATCAAAAGCTCTTTTAATTTCTTCCCCTTTTAATAATGACTATGTTTAGTTATCTCTCACTTTTTTCTCTTCAAATCTAAACAAAATATAAAATTTAGCTGAAAATTTTTTATTTTTACTATTTACTTTAAAGATTTCATTTTTTCTACAAGATAAGCCTCTCTTTGATCGAGCTATCTCTCTCTATCTTAATTGTTTTCTGGTTTATAATTACTTGTTTACTGAGAGTTAATGAGTAAAAGCATCTTTTATTTACTATTATCAGCTTATTGCTTATTTTGACTTTCTAAATCTGTAATTTACTAACGAAGCTGAATATTTTTTATTCTTTCAAATGCATAGTTCTTCTCATTACTAATTAATTGCAAAATGGTTTTAATATAGTAAATTACTTCTAAATTACCTATGAGTATCTTATTTGATTTGAATTGCATGTAATTTATATATTCCTAACATAAATCTGAGGGATATTTCCTTTTTCAAAGCCTCTTTAAGATAAACTGCATAATTATTTTATTTTTCAAATTAGAAATAAATTAACAGTTATTTAAACCATGAACAATCTTACCATCAATATCATCTTAACTTCTTGAACTTTAATATTATTGTGAATTATTATATTATCCAAATGAGTTCATATCTGCTTGTGGGTTATATTATCTGAAGCTTTATTAACCAGAATACTCAAACTAATTTTATTATCCTGTCACTATTTATAAATTTAAAAGCTATTATAAGACTATAAAAATAATTTTATAATTGAATACAATTATTTCCTCCAAAACTCATCCTTTTTATCTGCTATTTTTGTAGTTTTTATGTACAAATTTTGAATTTAAAGTTTTCAACTCCTATTTTTTATTAATTAATAAATTAAAGTTAATCACAATAAATCTTTAAAAATTCAAAATTTTTAATCGATAGTAATTTAGTTAAAAAATTATAGTTATTTATAAAAATGTTCATAGTGATAAATATTGATTTGTTCAAATCCATTAATTAATTAGTTAGTTAGTAAATTAATTAACTATTCATTATAATAGTATAATAAATAAATATTATATCTTAAAATCTAATTTATTAAAATAGATATTTTAATCTTAATTTAAATTTTTAAAGTAAAAAGTATTCTTTCTTACAATGATTTAAGAATACTCTCAACTTATCTCTGAAATTTTATTAAAATAGTAGCATACCTACACTATGATTTTTCTTAGCAAAAGAATATTTAATAAACACTATTTTAATTTAGGATTGTGGTTGATCAGTCAAAATAAAAAGCTTACTTCTGATAAATATCCTTAAATAATCACTTTTTATTTGATATTTTATAAAAAATGTTATTAATAATTAGCAAAATTTATTTGATATTGTTTTGAAGTATATTAAATTAGTAGTAATTAAAAAAAGATTATTTACATTAAAAAATTTACCAAACATACAAATAAAGCTTATCAAACAAACTAAGATAAATTTATCATTTGTAAGATTAAGAACAATTTATAAAATTCCTTTAAAAAATTGAAAAAATGAAGAAAATAAAGTTATAATTCTATCAATACGTATTTGCTCCAATTTGCTTAGCTGTTTTGATAATGCTTATACAAAATTTTATTTTGATATTTATTGCTAATAAGAATGCTTTGTAAATGATGAAAGATTATTTTAATCAGATGGGTTTTGATTACATAAAAAAGTAGAATCAAATTTAGTCTGTATGCATGCAAATTAAGTATGCACAGAATACATAATAAATTGCTATAATAAGATCGCTTTTAACTAAAAACTACAACGATTAAATAAAAATGATATATATTCCTGATATATAAAATTTTGTTAAAATACAAAACAGAGGCATCTTTTAGAATTTAAATTCAACAGAACAAAATAAATAGTTTGTTTGGAATTCTATAAATTAAAATGAAAATAGCCGTAAAGAATGGAGCCAAGCAGAGGAAAACTATCTGCAAGGGATTTATAATATACTTGTATTAATACCTATAATATAAAATTCTGTAAGCTTCTATTCTGTAGACCCTAATAGTAAATTACTAATAGGAAATCCTCTAGCTGTAGAAGTTCCTGAATTCTTAGAATAAAAATATTATAACCCTACAAACTATAACTGGTTTTAAGCTTCATCATAAGAAATAGACTAAAGCTAGGGTCTCTTTATTTTCAATTAACCAGTATGGTACAATGATATTTTAACACCTTTGTGCTCTTAAATAATAAATAAAAGTAACAATATATTTTTAATATAATATTATCAATATCTAAATTTTATATTACCCAATTAACTTAGGCTAAGCCTAGACGTCTATAGCTTGTACTAATTTATATCTTAATAAATACCTTTCATAGATCTAAAATGGTTCCAAAGATACATATCTTTCTAAGGTTTATTCTTATCTAATTTATCCAAACACAAGGTAAGTGATTGCAGTAACAGGTTATTAAGAAAATAATTTGGAAACAGTAGATTCCTTCGAGTTTGGTTCAAATTATTTGGACTCTAACGAATATTAGAATTTTTATGATTAGACAAGCTTTATTACAACAAACAGCAAATATATTTATAAAAATAATGACTATTGTACTTATAAGCAAAGAGAAGAGCCAAAAACAATAGAATTTATTGATGAAAACAATGATGCTCATATTTTAGTTATTAGCAGTATATTCCTGTGTGAAAAAAACTATTAAAATAAGTATAATCTAATAAGAGTTTCGTATATTGGTAAGTATTTTTGCTAACTGGTTTATATTGACATTGAATTAAAAAATTTATTTTTAAAAATAGGAACTGCAATCAATAAAAGCTTACTAAATGACTTTGTTCTCGAAAAAACAACAAATATGTCAATAAACTAAGAGATAAGTCTGCTAATTTCAATAATTCTTTTATTTGGAACTGTGCTTTTTATCTTTTTTATTGGTTTCTATATCACTTAATAGATATTGGAGCCAATAGAAAACTTCACAAAAGGTAAATAAAAGAAAACCCTTTCACATACATACATTCTTTAATTTATATTTTAAAATTTTTAAAATGCTTTATAAATTAAATTTATTTCTATAAACAAGGATTGAAAATATTAGATGCAGAGTCAATTAAGATATTGTATAAAAAAGTATAAAATTAGCATGAAGAAAATTTAAAAGCTGAAGTATATGAGCCCTTAACTGCTTATCATAATCTTATATCGCTTATTAGTGAAGGTAATTAGCTATATTCTGAAGGAAAAACAGAAGAGGCATTTGAACTTTTCAAAAAAAGTTAATAAATTTATAATTACCTTGGAAATTATGAAGGTTGCAGCATTTGTTTACATAACTAAGGAGTTATTATGATAAATTAAAATAAATTACCTGAGGGCATGTAACTGATTAAATAAAGTCTAGATCTTTGCTGGGAAGAAAGATTCCAATTTTAGTAAAAGTATCTAAGCTAGGGAATTTCTGAAGAAGAGATACTCACAGATGAACGCTATTACCATATTTTAATTACCATTTGTAGAAGAACATTTACATTAATTGAGGCTAATTTAATCTTAATCAGATAATTCTAAATGGGAAACCGACTCTAAAAAGTTAATGCTTAAACTATCATCGAGCTTATAAATGATATTATCGATATTCAAAATGTATTATGCAAATTTGGAAAAGTAACAAGCATCCTAATTTATGCAAAAATATAACTATCTTATTTTTACTACTTACAAGATGATTTAGATAAATCCTAGTCAATATGCAATTTTGCCGAAGAAGCATATGATGGGTACTTCCCAAAGCTAAGCTATAATTTAGTCAATAGCTTTCCTTTATGTGTATTACACTAAGCACTATTGGTATAAAAAGGATTGATTTAAGAAAAATTAGGTAATCTATATCAAGCAGCACAGCTCTTCACCATTTCTATTGTAATAAAAATAAATATAAGCTTATTCTTTAAATTAAATTAATTTTATTGAAAAATAAAAGGAAGAAGTTGAAGAGTATAAGCCTGATCTTAAATAAGAAGCTCTTCTTGGTTTACAAAGAATTTTGTCGAAAATTGATTTATAAAATCCTTATATTAATTACTTCTTGTCTGCTTTTTAAGAATCTGTTAAAGAGGTGTACTTTTTAATTGATCTGAGTCTTGGCTATTTTAATTAGGTTATTTAAATGAGAGAGAGGATAATCAAACTTCTTTGTGATCCAGAAGATAGAATATCCTAAATCTCGTTGTCAACTAAACTACAAATTAATTTTCTCAAAATTTCTACCAGTGATGATTACATTAGGTAAAGATCAATCGAACCATTTGATTTTAATGTATCATATTTTTAAGAAGGCTTAAAAAGCATTTACTAAAAGATTTAATAAAGCACAGAGTATATAAATTAAGTACCTAATAATGATTTTGAAACATTTTACCGTGGTAAAAGTATAAATTTTCTGAAGCATCCTAATTTAAATATGAAATAAATAATGATTATTTTTACTGATTTATCTAAATTCATCCTCAATGAAATAAATGATCAAGATTTAAAAGACCTAAGTGAAAACTTTACTATAATTTTAATAGATGTTAGTCACGACTATGTAAATACAGACTAAATGTTTAACAAAATAGTATTGTCTGAAAATCTTAACTACTATCATTACTTCAGTTTTAATAGTATTAATAACACTCTTATAGAATAGTGGAGATATCTCACATAAGAGCAAAATACAAACTTTAAATTCAGTATGGAATTTTTCTAATGAATTAAATAAAAGTTTTGTATTTCAATCAATCTGTTGAATTTTATAAAAAGAAATAAAATTAAATTTAAAATTGTTCTGAAAATTATGTTTAATTTTAACATTTTAACATTTTTCATTTAATTTTTATTTTTATTTTTTTTAAATTGAGATTAATTTTATTTTCAAATCAACTAAAATAAAAAATATTTAAAAATTTAATCTTTCAATTGTTTTAAATTCACATAAAATTGTTTATCATATAAAGCTTAAATTTTAAAAAAGAAAATCGATAACTTAAATTACATAATTATAAATTTTGATTCACTAAATCCATATTTTAACAAAAAAGAATAATTATAATTATACCAGGATATAGTCTATATAAAAAGAAATAAAATTAAATTTAAAATTGTTCTGAAAATTGTGTTTAATTTTAACATTTTTATTTAATTTTTATTTTTTTTTATTTGAGATTAATTTTATTTTCAAATCAACTAAAATAAAAAATATTAAAAAATTTAATTAAATTTTCAATCTTTCAATTGTTTTAAATTCACATAAAATTGTTTACCATATAAAGTTTAAATTTTAAAAAAGAAAATCGAAAACTTAAATTACATAATTATAAATTTTGATTCACTAAATCCATATTTTAACAAAAAAGAATAATTATAATTATATGAGGGTATAGTTTATTCTTAACTATTAATAACTTTGCAATCAAATTTATAATGAATTGAGATCATTAAAATTTAGTTTAGAATAGAAAAATATTTACTTGAAATTAGGAAATAGAACAAAAGGATATTTGATTGTCTGTTAATTTCAATATAAAATATCTATCAATTTTATTAATTTCTATTTTATTTTTTGAAATCCTTTTGAATAAATTTAATAAGTATATAAAATAAGTTTTGTTTAAGTAATCTCTAAAAAATAAAATAAAAAATTATAATAAATTCTAATATTGCTATTAACTTTTAATTGATTTCATTTTTCAAGAGAAAAAAATATAAAATTTCTTATTTTTTGCAAATAATTTATTAATAAATAAATAAATAAACAAAGATTAACAGAAACCAATAAGAAATTTTACATGAATTTTGAATTATTTATTTATTTAAATTATTGTAATTTAATTCAAGTTTTGTTTGAGGAAGATAGATAGATAGATACTCTTCTAGACCAATTAGTCAATTTAATTTGTGTTAATAAAACTATATAAATATTGTGTGATTTTAATTAAATAGTATAATTTTTATATTACTAATGAATAATATATAATTACAAGTTAATCAAAATTGATATCTTAGATAACAAATAATTTAGATATAGAAATAGGTTTTATAAAGCACTAAGTAAGTAATAAATAAGATTATGTAAGACGAGCTTAACAACCCTCTTGTCAAGGAGAATAACTAAGAGGGGATGACTAGAAATGAATCTGGACTTTCTTTCCATATTATTAACTATCATGAAAAAAAAGGGAGTTTCTTAAATGAAATGGAAAATTTATAAGATATTAATAGTAATTAAAATTAAGGAATCCTTAGCACTCCAAACAATCGCAATTAGGCAGATAAAGAGTTAGCGTTTTCATCAGGAAAATAAATTTATATGTAAAAAGATAGCTATACAAATGTTATAAGCATTAGTGAATAGGATGGAGGTAGTGTGAGTAAATTTTAGCAATTGATGGGAAATAAAAAAGGAATTTTTTACATGATTATTGCTAGTATTTGCTTTAGCTTTAGTGCATTCTTTGTAAAGAAAGTTGAAAATAATTAAATCTCAGAATTAGAGTTAATGTTCTACCGTTCACTCTTTATCATATTTTTCCTTTTCATCATCTATAAGCTTTCACAAAGAGACGAACATCCTGACAATGAAATTTAAGAATACAGCAAGAATAATATAACATTCATTCATATGAGTGAAAGAAATTTTGTCAAAATATATTCTATTTTGAATGGAATTATTGTTTTTTCTTATTTTTATGGTATTAAAATGCTACCACTCTACGAAGCTGTTTCACTTCAAAACTGCTCTATGTTTTTTACTGGAATCTTTGGCTGCTTTTCGCTTTTTTAGACTTCTTCTATTAAGTTTTAAGCAAAAGAGCTTATTTGTATTGTATTAATAGGAATTGGTGTATACTTGATAAGTTATCAAGAGTCATTTAAAGCTTCAATGGTTTGTATTATTGGAGGGTCTTTCGTTTCTGCTTTAATTTAAGTAATAATAAGAAGGTATCAAACAAACACTGAGTTTATGAAACTTCTTTTTTACACTTCTTTCATCCAGTTGATAGTCTCACCTATATATATTTTATTCTTTTTGAAATTTCATCATGTAAGCCTTTAAGATATTATCTTGATTGCCATATAAGCATTTTTGTAAATAGCTGGCACAAAATATCTATAAATGAGTTTTATGTCTCTCTCGGATGGAAGATATGTCAATTTCCATGTCTAAGGATAGATAGTTTTTACTTTGATTTTAGGCCACTTCTTTTTGTAAGATAAGTTACAAAGAAATTCTCTGATTGGATGCTTATTTATAGTTGCAAGTAGTATATTAATGATCTTAAAGTTCAAATAATGAAAAATTGTGGTGTTGTAAATAAATAAATAAATCGAAATGATATTAAAATTTCAAACAATAAAACTTAAAATGAATAATCATACTAATAAATTATATAAGTATTCTCTCTTGGCAATAAATAGTTAGACCTTATGATTTAATTCTTATATTTCAGAAGGTATTTATTTTGGCATATTTAGTTATGAATTAAAATTATTAAATGATAATTTATAAACATGTTTTATATTTAGTTCAATTTTACTGATTTTATAAAAGTTTAATATTCATTTAAAAGAAATTTTCAAATTTTAATGCTTGCATTTCTAATAAAAAAATAAATTATTATAGAATTAAATCATTTAATTATTTCTGTAATTAACTAATTATTTATTTATCAATCAATATATTAATTAATTATCAACATTGTTAATTAAATTTATCAGTAGCAAAAAAATAAATATGATTATGGCTTTAAATGATGGAAAAGCAAATTTTAAATTCAAACCATGTTAATTGTGGAATTTTAAAAATTAATGGAATAATAAAAATAATTAATTTATGAAAGGATACGCTATCTTTTTATGAATCAATTGTTATTATTCTTTATATTTAATAAAGTAGTTAGTATCTAAGTATTAAATATTTTCAATTCTATTGATTGTGTTCATTTTGCTATTGTTAAAGTCAATATAATATTTTCAGATGTTTTTTTTAAAGAAAATTAATAAAATAACAAAAAAATTTATAGCAATAATTAGCTGTTTAATTTAATTGAAAAAAAATAAAGATTTATTAATTATTATTGATATCTGCAATTCAAAAATACTCAAATATAATATAATAAATCAACTTAAAAATGGAAAATTTAAATCATCTCAGTGATGATCCATACTTATAGCAAAATTTGGTAAATATTACATGCATCATTTCATATTAAGATTATAATTTAGCTCATTTTTTTAGCTCATCTTTAGTCGACTCATAATTAAAAAAGCTTCTCTATTCATAAAAATATAATATTTACTGAATAAGGTTGTTACTAATTCAATTTATTTTTAATAAAAAGACTATAGAGTTTTTAATTAGCTGGGTAAATTAATTCTAGAATTATCCACATTGCTCCTAAGCTATCGATTTATCAGATTTTTAGAGTGGTATTGATTTAATCATTTTTTTTTCTTTTGAAAGAAATAATTACTTCTGGCATTATTAAAGTTTTACAATTATTTAGTTAGTTAGTTTTAAATAAGAGAAAATAATTTTGCTATTTAAGAACTTATATAAAAAAAATAGGTATTGGTTTTTATACTATTTAAATATAAAATTTAAAATAGGTATCATCTTTTGTGAATTAGTTTATGATGTAGTTCTTTAAAGGAAAGGTGGCTCATTTTTAAGCAAAGTTATTACAAGTAATTTGAATCAATAAAGATGTATTTAGAATATTTCATTGGCACTTTAAGAGATTAATGATCCAAATTTAAACCTCACTCCTCAATAAGTTTATGGAGAAACAGATGCTATTATTTAATTAATTGAGTACTTATAGAGAATAGATAAAAATTAGTCAAATAATGACAAACCTTTATAGTAAAATAACTAACTTTACTAATAAGGTATATAATAATATAAAAAACCTCCCTTACCAAATAAAATGAAGCTTAGTGGAACATATTAAGAAAGTAATAAATACAGCAATGGAAGTACAACAAATAATGCAAACCAATACATTTCTCCTTAATTTGGACTTAAATAAGTAAAGGGATCTAGTGGTGTTGGTGATGAACTTTTAGAACCAGATAATGAAAGTGATGCTGCCTACATGGAGAATCCATATGAAATGGGCCTATCGCAAGATAATGCATATCATTAATCAAATAATAGCTTTCAAAATTAAACTCCTGGTATACAATCTAATAGAAGTAGCTAATAAAATAGCAAGATGATAGAAAATGATTATAAATTAAGACATTAGTAAGAATATATGAATAATGGATAATCATCAAATAGCCATAGGAGCAGCAATTAATAAGCTCAATACGATATAGAAAAATAGGATGAGTTCGGTGATGCTCCCAACAATTAAGTTATAAATGTAGAAAATATTTAAAAAATGTCATAATCACTTAGTGAGTATTTCAAAAAATAAAATAGCACTAAAAATACAAGCAATAATTTTTTCAATATATAAGAAGATGGATATCCTGTTGATGTGGATTCTGTCTAAGAAGGTTAAGCTGGAAATTAAGATCAATAAAATGCTCCTCTTATGTTTTAAAAATCAAGTAATAGCTAAAAAAAGTAAAATTTATTTTTAAAATGTTTTAATTTTATTCAAAAAACTTTAAAAAAGTGATGAATTTGATTAATCAGCAAGAAATACTTCAAGTCAAACAAGATTTTATTAAATGAATAAAATGAGACCAGGATCGAAACCTTTTTAAGAATAGATAATTGAAGTACCGGGAGAAGTTACTCATTAGGAGAAGCTTAAAAACTATTAGTTAGAGAACTAATAAGAAAATGATGAAGATTAACCTCGCTAACTTCCAACAATTGATAACGATTATAGCAATCGTAACAGTTTTTCTTAAGAAGTTCCTCATTTTCCAAATCAAAATAATATTTTTGAAGAAACACAACCTAGAAAATTAAATTCTGTTCCAGTTAGAGAACCTCAAAAATATACACCCACCAAATAAAACTTAATACCAATGACTATGAAAGATATGGCTGCCCTTTAATACCCAAAAAGGTAGCTAGCAAAAAATTAAATTCACTATCAGGATGTAAAAAATATACTCAACAATAAGTATGGGGAAGAAGAGGATTGTGGTATTTAACAAAAATCTAAATTCATAAATGAAGAAAGAGCAACAGTGAATTACTTTAAAAATTAAAAATAACAAAAAGCTGATTCAAATAATACTTAATTATAACCTTAGTAATACAATTCTCACTCATTTAATTGTTCTCCTCAGCATAAGAACAGTTTTATCATAGATAAATTTACTTCAAATAAACACTGCAGCGAATAAAAGATTAAAGAAGCACAAGAATTTTTATAAAAGGATACCAAAGAAGAAAAAGTTAATTTAAAAAAAATTTTATAAGGAGGAGTTAATATTTCCCGAATTTCAAATAAGGGTGATCCTTTATCTGCAACATCAAATGCCATTGTTTTAGATATTGAAATAGAAACAGTTTCAGAAAAAACTAGGGCTAAGCTATTAAACTGGCTAAATGATATTAAATTATTGAAGCAAATACCTAATTTAGACTAGAAATTACACAAAATATGCAAGGATGGTATTATCTTTGCTGATATTATCAATCTAATGGAAGGTAAAAACTAGATCATAAAAGGTTTAGAAAGAAAACCAAAAAAAGAAGCATAAATTACTGCAAATTATTTAAAGATATTTAATTATTTGAAAAATTTTGATAAAATGAATCCTCGATATCTTTCATAATAGTTCCTAATTTAATAAAATGAAAATATTTTTTGGGGGTTTTTAGATGATTTATGGTATTTCTATCATAACAAAATCTCTCCAAATGACATTAGATATAATGGAAATGGAGGTTCAGTAGTTCTTTAATCAAGCAACCATAATACTAGCTAATATTCGATGTTGAATATTAATAAACAAGCTCCATCAGCACAGTAATAGCAAACTTAGCAGCTTTAGCAAGCAAAACTGAATACTAATACGAGTCATCTAAGTAGTAATTTTAATAATAACACCTAATAAACATCGTAAGGTGGCTAGTTAAGCAGTTAGCGAAGATCAAATTCTTAAATACCTCCAAATAATTTAAAGCAAATTCAAGAAGAGGAAGACAGTCATCAACATTCTCAAGTTTAATAGCACTAAGATTTTTTGGGAGATGCAACTTCAAGCTAATATAAAAGGAGATAATATGAAAATTATGAAGACATAATGCATGACAACCATAATGAAGCTAAAAGAAAAAAATCTAATTAGCGTTCTCTCAAAGACAATAATAGTATAATGCAAGGATATACAAACTCAGTAGAATAAAATATAAATGCTTTGCTAACAGATGAGAATATTCCTTTTTATTAAAATTAAAATAATAATTAAGAAACAAGATAATTCTAGCAGCAACAATACAGTAGATAGCAAGGTTTATCTAAATCTCCTTCAAGTCCAAATCCACTAATCGCAACTTTGTAAAATGTTGATGTTGATTTAATTAAAAATTGGTTGAGAGGACTTGGTTTTAGCCATATGCTAAATAAGAGTGAGCGTTAGTAAGAATAATTCATAATGCTAAGAGAAAAGTAATAAGAGATAGTAAATTCTGAAGAATAAAAAAATTAAAGAAAAAATTTTAGAAAAAAAAATATAAATGATAAAATATGGGGAAGCTTTTCTGAAGAAGAAGAGAAGATCATAACTTAAGATCCTTTAAAGAACGGAGTTCTTCTTTGCCTCACTTTGAGTAGAATAGAAATGTGCAGAGTTGACTAACTTTACAGAAAACCCGAAACAATAGAGTAGTGCTATAAAAACTATGATTTAGCTTATCGTAATATTAGAGCAAGAACTGTCTTCGTACCAATTGAATTGTTATGGAGATAGAAAGAAATATTTTAAGGGGAATTATATTCTTTATGGCAGATATGTCATGGTTTGATGCTATCTACTAATAGTATATATGTTTCTACATAACTTGAAGGATAGGAAAATCAAATTCCTAATTAATTTTAAAATTAAATGAATTCATTTAGTAATAATTAACATTAAATGAATCCTTCATACATCCAAAACTACAATTCTTAAAGGTTTAATTATAACACATAAAGTGGATAAGTAAATACATAAAATTTATTCCAAAGCAGCAATAGTAGTATGATACCTACTACGTTCACAAACCATGCATAATAGCATGTCAATCCTCAATAACAGCTATCTCAATTTCCTTTAAATGGCACAGGTAGTATCATGTAAAATGTTTCTTCTAATTAAATGACAGTAAATATGTAACTTCCTTATTCTGAAGAATCTATGTCAAAGCTTAAATCTAATTTGATAGAATGGGTTGAATATTTAGGAATATTTGCGGAATTGAATGTTGAATGTAATGATTTTGTTAGTTTTCTCTCTCTGTGTAAAGATGGAGCCGTTTTGTGTTATATTATGTGTAAAATATTCAACATAAAAATTGTTGGAATAAATCGCAAAGCATGCACTAAAGCTGCAGCACTTTCTAACATTAGAAAGTTTTTGGAGATTTTCAAAAGGACAAAAGAATTGCCTAATATATTCTTCGTAACTGAAGAATCAATTTATGAAATGAAAGAACATTTAATTATATATTTATTAGAAGAATTAATGAGATATTAAGACAATATACCTTCACATTAACCTAATTCTATATTTGAAGAGCCTTATTTAAAAGTATTTCCATAAAAAGAAAATGCATTTGCAGCTAGAGAAAATAGCTACGGTGCTAGAGCTAATAACGCTGAAGCTTCAAACCAATCTACAACAATTTAATAATAAAATAGATCTCATTAAAATCCATACTTTGCAAAAGGTTCAAACAATTTACCTATAGAGGCTAAGCTAAGTGTGCACAACTAAAGCAATCGTGATCTTCTTAAAAACTACAATGAAAATTTCTTAAATTAAAGCTAATAAAATGTAATAGATAATTAGAATTTAGTTAATTCATAAAGATAAAATACTAGCGTATCTCTTGGAGTATTAAATAATAGTAAAAGCCCAACCAATTAAAATAATATGAACTAAGAGAATATGAAAGCTTAAGAATAAAATAAAAATAACTTCCAAATAGATGACCCATATAGCATCTTGCCTTAATCAAAAAGAATAGAAAATTTAGAACTTAACACAATGGCATCACCAACAAACATTTAAGTAATTTCATTATAAAAATTGTTTTATATTCGAATTTCACAAAAATTATCGAAATTAATAAATTTTATATCAGATTTATTAGAGATAAATCATAACTTAAGTTATGATTGTTAAAAAAAACGTTAGAGTGAATTAATTAACTATAAAAAAAGGTATTAAAAAGTATTAATCAGCAGTAATAGCTAACTTAAACTCAAAGGATAGAGCAAGTCGTCTAAAAGAATAAAGTTGCATAAAAAGCAGCATCTTCCCCCATATAAAAAGAAGATGGAGTTTCAATCTACAATGACTTTGGTAGCTCTGATCCTGATTAAGGTATTTAAAAAATATAGAATCATAAATTAACTTACTTTATATATAAATAGATAGCCTTAAAATAAAAAACTGGCTTTCTAGTATAGGATTTGAGGATTTGGCTTACAGTTTAAATTTTAGAGAATAAGTTATATACTAATTTAAAGATGGGTAATATCTTAATTAATTAATTATTTTCCTTTTTTAAATGATCTTTTATAGTACCATTTTAGGAAAAATTCTTGAAAAGTTAGAATCTAAGCCAATAAAAGGAATTAATTTGAATCCAAAGACTAACGCACATTGTAAGTATAATTTAAGTAAGTGCATAGAATTTTTAGAAAAAAAGAGTGATATGACCTAAGATCTACTTTGGGATTAGAATGAATTATTTGAATGTAGCTCAGATTTTATTAAAAAATTTTTACTTGCAATACGTTATGCTTATAGAAAGGCAACCCTTTCTCTTAAACGGTAATTCATTAAATTTACCAAATTTACTTAATTAATTAATTTATTTAATTTTTTTTAAAAGTGCCAATGGATCATCTGTTTACAGCTAAATTTCTTAAAAATGAGAAAAAAATTTTGAAAAATTTATAATAGTAGGAAACGTAAGAATTTCTTTTACTAAAAGGCGAGAGTTTTATTTAATTAAATTATATATATAATAACAATATGCATGTATAAATCAAAATATTTATTTATGTAAATTAGTTTTTAAAATAGAAAATTTAAATAATTTTTAACACTCAATTAAAATTCATCCTATTTTACAGAGTATTTAGGGCACCAAGAGATATTTAAATGCATTTTTATATTTGTTGAATCATTCATATTTTTATTCAAAATTCAAGATAATGCAACAAACGCAAATTTATTGGTCAAGTATTTATTAGGTTTACTTATTATCAAATTCTTTAAAATCTAAATTCCAATATATCACACACACAACATTAATCACTAATTAAATAAATCCGAGAAGATAGATAGATAGCACACAAATAAAAATAAATAAACCCAATAATTTAATAAAGAAAATTAAATAAAAGTAATAAATTGCCATTGAATAAAATCTATTTATCTAAACATTTAAATTTTGCTAATAAGTAAATAAAATATGAGTTTTGAAAAGACTTAATAGCTTAATCTTAGTAAAACAAATTTAGGTCTTTAAAGTATAATTCTCAAGTAAAATAATTTCATTGCTTTAAAAATAATTTATTTTTTTTTTACAGCTAAGAAACTGATTATGAAGCTACATTCAAGCATGAATACAATCAAGAAAATCTCCTATTGCATTTATAGTATTTATTTGAAAATTGACTTAAAAACATCAAGGTATTTACTTAATGGATTTCAATTTAAAAGGGGATTTGAAATAGGAAACGAAGGGGCTGAAAAAGTTGGAATATATCTATCAAAATTAGTTAATTTGACTCATTTGCACATTTATTTTGAGTAATATATCATAATAGAAAAAATTTAGATTCAATATAAATGTAATTTAAAATAGGAAAAATTAACTAGGATCAGAAGGAGCAAGTCATATAGGAAGAGCGTTAAAGTAGCTCGAAAAAGTGAAATAAATGCAGCTTGATATTGGGTATGACTATATATATTAAATTAACAAAAAAGTGAAAAGGTTAATATTTAAATTTAATGAAAAAATTAGTATAAATAATATAGAGTGTGATGGATTAGAAAGCATAGCTGATGGCATTAAAAAATAAGTTAATCTAACATAATTATAACTTAATATAAGGTAATAATAAAATTCATTTATTTTAAATTTAGGAATAATGAAAGAATACTTAACATATTTTTTATACTAGATTTAATAAGATAAAGAGAGTTGGAACTAAATGCTTATCAGATTCTTTAAAATGTCTAACTTAGTTAAAATAATTACATATTGTTATTGAGTAATCAATTAAGCATAATTTGTATTCAAAAATATATTTTTTTTTTGCTTATTATTGTCATATAGAGGTAACAGAATAAGAGATGAAGGATTGTGCCATATTGGAAATGCTATTGCCCAGCTACCTAATTTAGAATAACTCTATCTAGATGTTTCTGCAAATTCTATAAAAAGTGAAGGGGCAAAAAGATTTGCTTAAGAACTATAAAAATGTTCTAAGTTAAAAAGCTTGTTCTTAGAGTTTTTGTAAGAAAAATAAATATTTTAATTTAATTTAATTAAAAATGTTATTGAAAAGCTGGAATAAAATGGGAGATGAAGGAATTTAAGATTTATTTTTAGCTCTCAAGAATATGAAAGAACTATATGATTTACATATTTCACTGAAAAGAAACAGCATTACTGATAAGGGAGTAATCACTATAGCGGCACTCTTACCTTACTTAAAAAATACTGTCAAATTCAGTTTAAATTTAGAGTACTAATATTTTTATTTTATTTAGAAATCTCATAATTTTTTTTTTTTTCAAAGTGTTAATTAGATATCGTTTGAAGGATAGGAACTTTTGGGTTAAAGACTTGGATATATGAGAAAGTTAACAGATTTATATTTGGATATGCAAGGGTATTTACAATTAAAATTAATACCAATTTAAAAATTTTTTATTTTAAATAACAAAAAGCTAACAAGAAATGTATTTAGCTTCACTCACTTTCTGTTTCTTAGGTTTCTTGTTGCAAGCAAGAAAGCATGAAATCAGAAGGCTTTTTATATTTGATAAAGTTTATGGAGGAATATAATTCAAATATAAAAATGATATTTTAATAGACTTCTTTAATGAATGAATGAAGGAATAGCTAACTAAATAATAAAAATTAGTTGGCATTCTAAGTTTTTCTATAAAAAACCTATATAATTTTATTCAATTATTTACAATTTTTAATTAAAAAAATTTAAATCCAGCCAGATTTTATTTCAAAGAAGTTAATAAACAAGTATATAAACTTATAAATAAATAGTTAATGTTTTTTATTTTTGCAACAAAAAGTATTTAAGTTATATATATTTTATATGTATTATTATGACCTCAATATAAACTTTACTATATTTATTTAGTTATTCTTTTAAAAATTAATAATTTTTTTTATAAATATTAAGTTTAATGTAACAACAGATATAAATAGTGTCAGTAGAAATATAAAAAACTCTTTGGAATACAATTTAGTGTAAATAATAAAAAACATAATTCCATCAATTTATTATATGTGGAATGAACATTACCTTATGTTGAATAGTGTGTGAATATAAAAAAATACTAATAGAAAATCTATCAAAAAATATGATATACTTTTTAACTGATGATTTATATTTTTTAATAAATATTTTATATGAAAAATAAATTAGATAGAAGTTAAAACCAATGATTATAAAGGAGGGATTGATTGATTTTGAACTAAAAGTTAAAAATTAACAAAAAGAAAGAAATCCGTTTGAATGGAAATTTAACCAATACATTATTAAATTAAAAACAAAAATATTGTTAAAGGCTTATCATTAAGAAGAAAGAATATTGGTTTTTATTTATTAATTTAAAAGAAAAAACTACATCTACCTTTTTTATATATTTTAATACAAAAATGGATACTTTTAAAGGTAGCAATGATTTAAAGGGAATTACATAAGTTGTCAAAAGTGGCAAAAGAAGTGAGCTATTTTAAAATGCTAATAGCAGTGATTTAATTTAGGATTTATATTCTTTTTATGAGTAAAGGCTTTCTGCATAAATGAGTTTATTGTATTAAAAAATAATCAATGACGAATTGATTACAACTCTAAGTGAGAGCTAAACTTCAAGCGAGTTCATAGAAGAAAGAATCAAAGAAATAATTGAAAATTAATTATTTTAAGAAAAAGAGTAAGTTATTTCTAAGCTTGCGAGCGATAATTAGGCCTTTTAACTCAAGATAGAATAACTTGAGATAGATAATTAAACATTAGCCTCTTCCATTTAGTCAGTACATAACCAAGTCAATAACCTAAACTATGAAGGAGTAAATAAAATATTATAAATTCTTTTTTCTTTAATTTAGATTTTAACTTGGAATTATATTTCAAAATAATAATTATCAAATTCACCTCAAAAATATTTTATTTTTATAGCTTTCATTTAATAAGTTTATATTATTGTTAAAATTATTAGAATTTAATAGCTTTACAGGATAAGCTAAAGAAGAATACACTAGAGCTTAATGAGAAAGATGCAAGAATAGAGTAACTTTTAGATAAGATTACTAGGCAAGAAGGATAGTTGCAGGAAAAAGAAAATTTAATTCAATAGAAAGACATTGATAAATAGAGAGTAGAACTATAATTACAGACAGAAAGAAATAAATTAACTCATGTAGACTAGCTTTAAGGAGTTGAAGAAGTAGAAAAAAAAAATTTATAGCAAAAATACGATGAATTATTATCTAAATACGATAAACTAAATGAAGAATTTAATGGTATTCGTTTGAGGTATGAATAAATTGGAGTTGAACGTATTAATGAATAAGAATAATATAAGCTGCTTATTGATTAAATCAAAGTTAAATGCAAAGATAAGACTCATAACTTGAAGATCAAATATAAATAATACAAGGATATGTCAAGAAATTTTTAAGAAAAGCTCATTTAAAATGAAACAGAATTTTCGAACAAAAACTTGCAAGTCAATGAAATGAAAATAAAAGTTTAAGAATCCAGCAGAGCAATTATAGAATATTAAAGATAAATTGCTGATTTGTAAGCTGAAATGAAGCAAATTTTGGAGAAATTGTAAATGTAAACTGATGAAGTGGAGCGATTGAAAAAGCTCTAATAAGAAACTATTGACACTTTACAAAATAAAATAGAGTTCAATGAAAAATCTCTGAGAGATAATCTAGAAGAATCATAAAGAATTATTGCTAATTAATAAGTTGATATTCAATACAAAAATAGATAAATTGCTGAACTAAGTTAAAAACTAACACAAAGTATCACTGATCATGCAAAACAATTACAATTGCTTGCAAAAGAAGCTGATGCTCAGAGAGACGATATACAACAAGAACTAATAGCTAATTCTAATGCTTTGGAGAATGATATTTAAGATTTAAAAAGCTAATTGACAAGGATATAAAACGAAAATACAGTTCTTCATGATGAGAATAAAAAATTGTTTTATGACTCCCACTCTAAAGAAAATCGCATCAAGGAGTTAGAAGGCTAGATAAAGTAAAATCAGTCAAAAATTAATGACTTACAATAAAAATTAGAAGATTTAAATAAATTGAGTAACCATTTAGATGAATAAAATAGATCTCTTGATGCTTAGAATTAGTAATTTTTTAATGATAATAAAGCCTTAATTGCATAAACAGAAGAGTAAGAGAAGGCTATTTAAAATCTCAAAGATTTAGAAACTTTGCATATTTAATTATAGGAAAAATTGAAATTAATAGAGTCTGAAAAAGCTAGCTTAGCTTAGACAGCTCAATAGCACATAGAAGAGAGTGAAAAATATAAAAATTAGTTATTTGAATTATAGTAAGGATAAGAAAAAGAAAAAAGATATGCATTAGATGGGTAGATGCGTTTAAAAGAAAATGAAGTTTCTTTAAAAATTGAGGTTGAGCGCCAATAAAGCGAAATTAAACACAACTAGCTTTTATTTGAAGAAAAGCTTTCAACCAAGCAAAAAGAAATTGAATTTATATAAATTTAATTAAATTCTACAACATCTGAAAAGGTGAAATGCTTGGAAACTTTGAGTGAACTTACTAAAAAATATGAATAATAAAAAGAAAAACTAAAGGATCTTTAAGAATAAAAAATATAATTGGAAGCAAAAATAAACAATTTAGAGGCTCTTTTACAAGAAAAGAATAACGCTTTTGAAAAGACATCTATTTAAATTGACCTCCTTACTTAAGAATCCTAAACAATTAAAGAATAATACAATTAAAAAGTAAGATAGATTTCTCTTTAGGAAGAAAATATTTCTCAATATGCCAAGGATAACTAAAAGCTAAATAATGAGCTCAAAGATCTATTACAAGAAAAAAATAACGTAGAAAAAAAACTTTTGTTAGATTTACAGTAAAAAACAAGTGAAGTCGCCTAATTATAATAATAAATTAAAGCAACATAGAAATAACTTTAATTCGAAGCACAGTAACACAATCTTTAGGTTGAAAGAGAAAAATTATATATGGAATAGTAATTAAAAACATTTGAACAAAAATGCTAAGAACTCTAGTAAAATTTAATTTAAAAAGAAGAGGAATAAGAGGAATTTATTGAATAGCTTACTGAAAAGGAAACTATGTTGAATGAATAAAGAAATTAAATTGAAGAATTAAAACTTTAATTTTAAAAGGAGGAGGATTCATTAAATTCAGAAATTTTGTAACTCTAAGATAGCTTGAAATAAAAAGAGAAATAGTATCATATTTACTAAAAATAATAGAAAGAATATACTCAAGACAAGCTCAAAGGAGTCTTAAGCAGTCTGGCAGAAGCTAGATAAGACCTAACCATTTTTTAGTCAAAATGCAATTCTGAAATAAATGATACTCATAGTAGAACTCTCTAATATTTCCAAGATATTATGCAGTTTAGTAGAGAATAGAAATCTAAACTTAAAGTTTAGTATGATAATGAAATGGAAAAATATTAAGAAAATATATCTACCAAATTTGAAACTTAGCTTGATAAAGAAAGATTAATCATGCGTGAAAGAGAATCACATTTCAATAAGTAGATTTCTCTGCTTGAGCAGAAAGTATTAGAATAAAACACTAGATTTTAGGAAGAAAAGTAAAAATATTAGCAAGAAATAAACTCACTGGAAGAAAGAAATATAACTGAAAAAATTTAGCTTAATAATGAAATTATTCAATTAAAAAACTAGTTACTTAAAGTAGAGTCGAGATCAGCTCGTTCAGTGGAAAAAAACTAAAAATAATTAGAGATGGTGAATTAAAATGCTTAGAAAAGCCAAGTTATGTATGCTAACATGATATCTGACATCAAAAATAAATTAGAAGAATCAGAAAAAAAGGAGCTCTAAGTTCTTAATGAAACAAGAAGTAAAATTCATAACATGAAAGCTCATCTTTAGCAAATTGAATTAGAGGATTCAAATGAATAGTTAGCTCATTCTACATCTTCTACTTCTTCTATGAATAAGTAAAATAGCAACAATGATGGTAGAAGCAGCAATAATCTCAATAACACCAATAATATTAATATTGATAGTCTATAAAATAATACCCTATTGCAAACTTAAAGAACTGCTAGATTAGCTCTTTAAAAAGAATATGAAAAAACAATGAAGAATTTTTAAAAACAGGAGATACCAGTATCAGGTAACTCTTCAAATAAAAGTAATAATAGTTTGCAACTCTCAAATTCATAAAATAATATTTCTATTAGAGGATAAAGCAAGAGTATGTAAACAAATAATTTTGTTGATGGAATAAATTATACACTAGGATCAACTTCCAAATATTAGAAATCCCCTTAGCAAATAACAAATAGCAAAATGTCTTCTTAATCTAACAGAAATAGATCTTCCACGAATCATTAATCCCCTTATGAGTCTCCAAATTAAAGTTAGAAATAATCATAAAGATCAAAAAGCAAGAACATATAAAAGAATCAAAATGAAAAATTAATAAACTCTTCCACAAACTCACCATATAAAAGAAATTCTTAAGTCGAAGAAAGTAAATTCACTCATCGTTAGCTTAATAATCCAAGTATATTTGCAAATAACAAAAATGAGAAGCAAGGTAAAGATGAATCAGTTAACTACTACTTTAATAATGGATTAAAGCAATAAAGCCCTTTACTTAACTATTAACGCAATGATACTTATAACTGTGATACTATATCTCCTTTTAATTAAGATAATAATAGTAATATTTTTGCTTATTCTCCAGATACAACTCATAAATAAAATGTTTAAGCTCATATCGATTCAGTGAAAAATAGTTAAAAGTCGTATGCAAAGAAGGAGTATTCACGTTAAAATACTCCTACTTACCTTTCTACTCTAGCTGAAAAATCTTTACAGGAGTTAAAGTTAGAAATTCTTAAGTAGAAACATAGATTAACTATCTCTAGAAATAATTCTTAAGACATCCCATCACCAATTAATAATTAAAATTCTTCTCACATACAAATTAAAACAGAATAAAATAACATACATAAATCTTAACTTTAAAAAAGTAAGGCAGATCACTTTAATTAAAATTCTTCATAGAATGAGCAAGAAGCTAGTAATGCTACCTATTAAAACAATTAAAGCAGCATGAGCTAAAAGTCGTCAATTCCAGTTAGAAAAAATTTAATGAATTTCACTCATTATAAGTTTGCTTCACCTTCTCCAAACAAAGTAATTTTATAAAAATAATAAAAATTACTTTAGTCATAATCTCAACCATAGAGCTAAAGCTCAAAGTCAAAACATGGATAGCCTTTAGATATTTAAGACCTTTGATAATGGTTTGCTAACTATCTAGCTAACCAACCAAATATTAAAAATATTTCGAATTAATTAATATATTTTATATATAATAATGAACAATTTGTATTGTCTCTCACAATATTATTTTTCTTTACGCTCACTAGCACAATTATTTTTCAATTATATTTATATAAGAAATTTAAACATAAAATATATTTTAAAATTATAAATTATTTCAAATTTAAGTAATTTTTCTAATAAAATAATAAAAATAAGTTTTAATTTAATTTGAAAAATATTTAAATCTATTTTTTTATCAATTAACATTTTATATTTTTATTTCATTTAAAATTATATAGAATAAAAATACAAAATTAATTCCTTTTTATAAAAATTGTCATTAAAAATCTTAATTATTATCATTTTTCAACTTTTTTATTATAAATTAGCAAACTTATTGTATTAATTTTTTATACTCACTATAAAAATTATTTTTCAATTATATTTATTAGAAATTTAAAAATAAAATATATTTTAAAATTATAAATTATTTCAAATTTAAGGAATTTTTCTAAAAAAATAATAAAAATAA